TTTGTTATGTTATGATCTGGTTTGCACCTTTTAAACAAATTTTGCTTTTTATTTCCTGCTCTCCAATGTGACTTTTCAGTGAATTAGCATATTGTGCTCTAACACACCACACACAAATATGCATGAACATGCACAGTTCAAAAGCACCATTGCATTGTGCACAACCATGGGGGGAAACCTGCGAAAACCCTTTAGACCCTTCTTGGAGATGTTTTTTCCTTGCTCCTGTTTGTTTTCTCAGGGAGGGCTCACAGCTTCGCTAGTCAACTTAGGTAATGTTCTCCTATAACTACCGGTCACAAAAGCAGTCTCACTTCAATCAGTTAGAATATCCATCCCATATAAAAATAAAAAAACAAAATTGAACTTGATTTAATTTTACTGTCTCTTTTCTCCCAACCTGAAAGAGTTTTAGAAGCCTGGAGTTTGGAAAAAAATGTGGCCGGTTTATTTTTTTCTCTCTTAGCTGCTGCTCTTCATTAGTTGTGGCTTTTTACTTCACTAGAATCAGTATGGGAGGGAAGAGATAGAAATTAACGTTCCAGGAAGGCTTTTCTTTCTCCTCAGTTATTTACACTGGTTCGTGGCAAATGCACAGCACTTTCTTTTGCTTTTTGTATGTGCCAAAAGAAAACTCTCTTGTGCTGTGTGGGAAGGAATCAGATTATTGGTTGGCAGTTCCAGCTCTGGGCTAAGAAAATGAAGACTGGTTTGAATTGCCTTATTGAGGGGCTTGCCAGAGTTCTGTAGGAGAAGCAAAGCGTTAACAGAAGCAGTCGAGTAACATCAGGACAATGTAGAGTGGTAGAACAGTATGCTTTTCTTACTGTAATTTAAAAACTTAATGCTGGCAGTAAAAATTTCTTTGAGTCATTTTTCTCTAAATAAAGATTTCAGAAGTACCCTCGTAAAATAAGTTCATTTTTGGAGTTGCATCTTAACTATATCTGCAGGCCAGAAGACGGACTTCTCTATGTGAAATTGCCCTGCATTTTCAGTGACTAGGACCATGTTTTAGCAAAGCCTGGGTGTGTGTGTTGATTATTGCAAACTGAAACAAACTTCAATAATTAAGAGCAAGAACTGCAAGGATTAGCTTTTTATAAAGGATTAAATATGGAACCCTCCAAAGACTGTCAAAAAAAGCATTTTACTTGAAGCATATTTTATAGGTAAAAATGAATTTCTATTACTGACAAAAAATATTCTCTTACATAAAATAAGGAGATTTTCCTCACTTGAAAGTCAAAACATTAAAATGAAAAACCAAACAACAAAAGTATGAACTAAAGAATAAACATGAATTAATGAATAGATCATAATGGTAGAACAGGAGGCATTTACCTTAAATCAGAGACTAACATATTCCATCTAATCAAAATGAAAAATTAGGAGGTCATTATTAATTTATAAAAAGACTTATTGCAAGCCTCATTTGAATGGTTGCCTCTCATTCATTAAGTGTACATTTTCAAAAACCATTTCAGGGAACCATACATTTAAAGCCATGTTGTGTAAACTTGCATTTTTTGAGAGCACCGCAGTGCGCTCAGGGCTAAAGAGGTAATAGAAAGTTAACAACAGAGTCTTCTTTAGAAGTTTTTATTTTCACTGAGAAGGCAAAACATCCATCCTCAAGGCTCCGGTTAGCGAACTGCACACAGCAGGGAGTGTTTGGGTGACCACATGTGCATTAAGGCTCATTGGAATTTAAAGGTCACAGTCAAATCATGGTCTGGGTGAAGATAAGCTACCATTGGATTTTGAGCAATAGCAGATTAAGATGTGTGGGAGCAAATAGCAAGGACTAAGCAAGGTGAGGATGGCTGGAGCCATGGGAAGGGACCAGTTAAGAAAAATACCACCGATGGCCGTGAACACGATGTTAGGAAAGGTTCAAGGGACTGGTTCTCCTTTTGCAGAGGCTGCAATGGAGAGAAGGTCACACACAGAAAGGTACGGCTGCCCTGGCTGGGCAGCGACCTGGGGGGCCCTGCAAAGGGATAGTCAGAATAATGCCATCACAGAAAGGAATTCTGGGGCTTTTGAAAAAGGCTATGATTGCATCTCAACATCTTAGAAATGGTTCTTTGGGACTCGGGAAAAAAGAAGGGAAGAGTGGGTTTGGAAACGACAATCTGCGTTAAGAACCAGAGCAGGTAAAGTTGTCCTGGGCTTGTGTCTCCTTGATGTCAACTGCAGCCTGGCAGCCAGGGAAATCACCCTTAAGAAGATATTAACTAACAACTAGTTGTCATTTTTGCTGGGGAGAATTGAATTTCAACAAGCATACTACCAAATTTATGCTTTTTGTCCTTTTTTTTCTGGTTCAATGTATTTTCAATAGGCAGTTTTTATATGCCTGTTACTGTGTTAATCAATCCATAATAGTGGATTAAGAGATTATTTCCTAGAACTTTTAAAATGCAAAGGTTTGAGTGGGCCACTACTGTAGCTAATTTTAAGGCCAGCCATCCTGTGTTCTCACAGATGCTTCCTCCCTCTTTCCCTCCCTCCCTCTCTCCTTCCCTCCCTCCTCTCTCTCTGATGTTTTATTATATTCTATAACAATTTCCCCCTTCTGCTGACTCTTAAAATCTACTATCTTAAAGAACCTTACAGTGTGTATTCTTAGAAGCCATCTCATATATTTTTTGAGCAAGCCTGAAAACAAAATCAAGGTAAGAAAACATCAAATTTGCAGAAAGAGCAAATTCGAGACTCTCTTGCTCTCAGCACAGCAAATGAAGAGAACCTGCCAACCTGATGAATCAAATGTTTTTCGTTTGTTTTTTCTTGCAATCTCTACCCATATGAACAGAGAACTTGCAACATATTTGTGGTCAGAGTGTTTGGGTAAAGGAAAAATATTTTATCCTGTGTCAAGGAAGAGAGACACACAATGGCTCACACATTTCCGGGGGTCCTGTACATAGGACTCCTGGTGGCTGATCCGTCGTCTCCATCCTGCCGGTGGGGTGGAGCATCAGGCAGGCAGCTTGCCGAGAGCGCCTGTATTTAGCCAAGGTGGGTTGGTTGTGTGATAACAGGGAGAGGGCCACATGCCGTCTGACTCATCCTCCCAAGCACACGTGTCAGTTTCTTCTACAGTCGGGACAGCCTCCTTCACAAGACAGAGCCTGCCTGACTTTCCTGGGCTGCATCCCTTAACTCCCACAGACCAACTTTCAGAAACTAACAAGCATTGGGAGCCACCGAGCCTTCCATAAATCACTTGGACGATAACATCATTATTACTTGTTCTTGGCCCTCACACAATTGCCCTTTCTCTTGTTTGGAAGGGCAGCCTGTGCTTCTGTGCAGTGTCTGACTCTTCCCCAGGCTCCATGGCAGTCTGCCGGGCCTCTAACGGGATGTTAAGACAAAGCTACTTTACTCGTTCATTCTCTGGCATTTTGTGTTCAAAGCCGGTGTATTTAAAACAAAGAAGTGAATAAATAAATAACATATCTATATTTATATCTATATATCATACACAAACATATGCAATGTGATACTCAGGATTTCAGATCAGAGCTGGCCCAATGTAATTTTTAGGATCCTTTTTAGGGGGTGGTATTCAGCAAGAGGTGGGGGATTAACAGCACAGCATAATTTTGAGCATGGATTTTAACCACTGCCCTATGATCACTAGCTCTATCACCACAGACAATATAACTCCCCAGGGCCTCAGTTTCTTTATCTCTATTTTGGGTATATTTGTGTTCTCCTCAAGCCGTCTGCCAGTGGCTCAGAGAGCTGCAAACAGCCTCTCCTGACATCACAGTGAAGGGGCTCCTCTTACTAATATGAATATAGGCACATCTATATCCACCTTTTTCTTAGTAACACTGACTACCTTGATCACACAGAAGTTTTCTATGAGACCAAATAAGGCCATTGTTTACATACCACATATGCCAAGCCTGAATATTGACATTCCCTAGGCAAACACTGTTTGGCTCAGGAGTTGAATGCCAAGACATATGTGGAGCTGTATTATCACACACTGAAGGGTGAATATATAGAAACAAAGTATCCTCAAATTATGAGTAGGCCGAAAAGAGCTGGGAACCCAGGTATATTTGAACCAGATCACTTATTTATGACTTGATCCATCTTCTAGTGATATAGTTTGGGAATTTAATTCTCTGAAGAACTGTTTGATGAAGTCTCATTAAGAAGCTTGGGGAAGTGATATGATTTCTGAGTGGCCTCATCTGTTAATTTGAACTTATAATATCTGCCACCTCCTTTCTAGGGTTCTTACGAAGTTCCTGTGCTATGTATGCAGGCTCTTAGTAAACAGTGACATTCTAGAAATATAAGAGGTTTTTAATATGCTTTTCCTGTTCTTTGGGTGTTTGTTAGTTATTGGCTTATTAACTTTTCCCAACATTATTATTCCTGTATTACTGAATTCCCGAAATGTCCACCATCCCCACCTGGAAAGGACATTAAACTTAGGGAGTAAAGTCACTTCTTAACTTGTTATTATGGTGATCATTACGATTGGGCAAGATTCTGCTGATTCAGATGATTCCAGGGGAGCCTAGAGGCTCCTCCTTTGTGCTACTTCCCCAAATATATTCCTGATAGGCTTTCTAATAATGAAAAGTTCTGAAATTGGGAATTTGTTTCATTGTCATTGTTTTAATGGAATTTCATTTTCAGCTCTACCTTTCATATATGCCTTTGCAGGAATTAAGTTTGTCGAATCACTTTAATAGGTTTTCAATAGAGGAAAGGAAATGGAATATAAATGGACAGGAATGAGGGCCAAAGCCTCAGAGAAATCAGTGTAGATAGAGAACACAGTGGGTATGCTCGTATTGGAGTTTTCCTCTGTGTAAATGGTAGACTGTTTGGATTGCACCCAACAATTACTGTTGCTTTAATTCTCTAGGTGACTAAGAATCACACAAATTATCTAGAATTTAATTTCTCCATAAGCACCCAAATACTTTGGGTTGAGAAAAGGGAAGAGCAACGGATCTTACCCAGTGGGTCTTGTGTCTTCAATCGCTCTGTCAACTGGGATCAAATCGCTGAGATAGACATTGAAGTTCCCTTCATTCCATCTTCTTTCTGCCTCCTTCTCCTTTCCAGGTGGAACGACTACAGGGCGTCCAAACTGGCCTGGAGCTTTGGGATCCCTTGGAGAAAGGGTCACATCGATTCTTAGCACGTGGTGCATTCCGTGGTTTTCAGGTAAAAGGGCTTTTATGTGACTTTGGTTGAGCGCTGCAAGTGGGGCCTTGGCTGTTGAGTTGATTCCTTCTGGCTGTAATCCCCCAGCTAAGGTTTGATTGATTCGAGACTCTCTTGCTCTCTGCACAGCAAATGAAGAGAAAGATATCTCACTTCTGTTCCTGGAAATGTGTTTCTCTTGGCTTTCAGCCAATACAATAGGAGCTGTAGTGTTGGTCTTAGGACCGGGGACCTCTTTGGCATCTGCCTTAAGCTCCTCCTCCTTGGTTACAATCACAACATGGTTTTCATAGAAACTGAATTTCTTCCCACCAGCCACTTTGGCCCCATCATCCTCCAGCAAGTGTCCCAACTCTGTCTCACTGATACGTTGCTTCTCAGAGTGATTCGAATTGGCAACCAGCTTGGAAAAGGGAAGGTTCTTCTTGGTTTTGTGTTTATTTGCATTTAGTTCTTTGCTCTGAGTCTCAGTTTTATTCAAGGCAATGCCTTCCCTAGATTTTGGCACTGGGGGGCTGGCAGGGAGAGTCCTCTCATTTCCCAGTGACTGTGATCGCCGCTTTGCTATGTCAGTTTTGAGACTTACAGTCACATTCAGGTTCTTTACAGCTGCTTGTTTTGATGTGTCACTGCTGAGATGATGACTCTTCAGAGTCCCCCAGTGTGCACTGACAGGGCCTGAGTGTGCAGATATTTTGGCCAACAGCGTTCCTCTTGCTGCTGTGAATGGGGTTTTCTGAGCCCCTTGAGCTGTTGTTTCCTTTGGCGCCACATGGCGAGAGGAGGCTTCAGGCTGGACATCTTGCTTGCCTGTCTCCCCCTTGGGAAAAGCCATAGGATGCCACAAAGGGGGAACCTTGCCCGTTCCCAGGGTATTCTGCACCTGGCTCTCTCTCTGGGTCTGAACCAAATCACCCTCAGCCCTGAGCATACTCCCTTCAGTCTTTCGGAAGTTCTCTTTTCCCCATATGCCTTTCCTGTGTCCCCTCAGTGGGGCCTTCGCCTCTTTCATGCTGCTGTACAGGATCTTCATTTGGTCCGGCTGCACTCTGAGTCCTGTCCGCTCCCTCCTGACGATGTCTTCCTTGAGGACCTGACTGTTGATCTCACTGAATGAGAGGCGGAGAGCTGCCATGTCAAAGAGCAGCCAGATGACAGAAGCTGCGAATATAAATGCCAGGACTCTCCCACTTCCTCGGAAAAACTTTCGAATCTTGTTCATGGTCCCAGGGCTTCCCCTGCAGCCTGCTTACCTTGCGTGGAGAGGGAGCTGAGGCAGCGGAGTAGCCAGAAGGCGCCCCCTCCCCTGAACACAGCAGGAAACGGCCGTCGGGCTGAGGGAGAGCTCAGCTCCTGCCGCTTGTCAGTCTCTGCCTGCGTGGCATTTCACAGCAGAGCATCTGTGCCTGCTGGGCTGGCCCCTGTAAACCCTCTTAAACACTGCCCTTCGGTCCCTCTGGAAGCAATGGATTCCAGCCACCAGATAGTTCAACATATCACTTGTCTCATCTCTGAGAGCCTGTGTCCACCTTCTTAGAAGCCAAGAAAAGGTGGGGGCCAGGCTGAGGCTGCCCTTCTCTCCTCCCCTTGCTCAGCCTGCACGCTGTAACTCAACACCACTTCTCATAAGGAAAACATTTCAAGCCATTACCCAGAAAACTTCATTCAGCTCTCACCTTCCGTGTTATGTGAGAGCCTGTGTGTTTTCAGGGCAATTAAAGGGAAAGAAAGCTACCTAACTTGGAGGGCCTGTGTTCCTGGTTTGTAACCCCACCTACCCCATTCCTGCTCTTTAACCCTGTTGTACCCAGGTCTCTGGCATGATCTGCCGCGGCAGTTTATCACCGACCTTAATGTTTCAGCTCTAAGAAGTAACAGCTGAAACCAGGTGTCTAATGTAACTTCAACAGGGGGACGTTTAATTATTCAGAAGCCTTCCTTGAAGGGATGTAAAAATGTTTCTTGGTAAGCCAGCTTTTTTTTTTTTAACTAGTCCATCTATTTTTATTATTAGATTCACTAAACATAAACATAATTTGTCATATTGCTGTAAGAGTTTCTAAACACCGTCAGTCTGGGGATTTATCTCATCACAGGACCAGTGGCAAACAATTTACATATTGCATCAGGATTGGACCAGACTTTGAGTGGCACTGGTGGACTGGTGGCTACGGGCTTTACCTAAGAATCACTCTGCACAAAGTCCTCCAGTTTTGATTAATGGATGGGGAAAATGGGCAGAGGTGGCCATTGGTCTGGTATTGTGTTTTTAAGAAGCTGCCCAGGTCTTCTTAATGTACAACCAAAGTTGAGAAACACTGGTTTAGAATAAAATGCCTCACTATTTGTTTGGTTTTTGAACACTGCTCATAATTCTTGTGATACTTCCTCTCAGACATGGTCAGTAACACCTAGTAAAAACTATACATTCCCAGAACAACTAAATTAGAATCTGCATTTTAATATACCTTGTTAGAAACGCTGTCCATGAAGTTTGGGAAGCGCTGTCCAGGAGGGCCTCCAGCGGTCTGCAGACTCTGATGGCACTCACTACTCTGGGGGTAGGGGGAGTATAGTGTCCCTGCTTTGAGATAAACATAGGGTCCCAAAGACTTGGGAAGGGGAGAAGGAAGGATTCTGAAATCTTTATACTTATATATTGCCTTCTGCAGCATTTGGTCTTTAAGTTTGTGTTTTGTTCCAAAGGAGGGAACCTAGTTCACTGCAGCTCCGTGTTCTGTTTTTTGAATCCCTGACTCTCATTTTCATTCAGTGTCTGCTCACTCTGATTTGGAAGATCCACATGGTTGGTGGCCTTGGTAGCTCAGCCATTTCCTCCATGCACCCCTGCCTTGATTCATCTATCTTCCCAATATTTGTTGAGTATGATCTGCATGCAGCTCAGGACCTTTGTTAGATGCTAAGGGATCCTGAGTCAAAAGACATCGTTCTTGTCATTGAGCTCTGACAATCTATTGGTGGACACAAGACAGGTAGGCACATACACAATGCACAATACAGTTATACGACAGAATAACCCCCTGGCTTAGTAAGTAATGTGAGAGATCAATATCCTCGATTCTATGGGAACGTGGCTTAGTTTTGGGATGCATGGATAATTTTTGAAGAAGCTATCCTTAGACTTGAGGGATGAATGAGAATGTAATTATCTCTGCTTGAATTACGGTCCAAGAAAAGAGTATTAGTTGTATAGAGAAAGGCAAATAAATTAGCAAAAGCACAGAAGTAAAGAGTGTATAGTACCTTAGGGGAAGTTTCTGAGAACAAGCATGATTGGAAACACAGGCTTTGGTATTTGCTTGTGAGTGTGTGTGTGTGCATGCAGTATGTCCCAAACACTTGCTAAGCTCTTTCTATAGAGTGTCTCACTAAATTTTCATCACAATCCAATGGCCAAGATACAGTTATAACTATCACTTTGGAATTGAAGAAACAAAAGCTTAAGGAGGTGAAGCAACTTGCAGGCGAGATGGTAAGAATTGGGTCTCAGGTAAATGACTGCATTGATAATACAGCCCATGGCTTAAACAGCACACAGTGCTGCTTCTCTAGCTGTATGACCTGTAAGCTTCTTAACTTTGTGTTTACTCAGTAGTAAAAAGAGGAAAATAATTTCTGCTTTCAGATTATTGTAAAGGTTAGAGAAAATGATTTAAAGTTCTTGTTATAATGAATGTAATCTAGAAATGATAGCTGTTGCCACTAACACTGTTGCTGATGCCTTGTGATGGGAGTGTGGGGTGCATGTAGGAGACAACGTAGCAGCTCTTCCCCAAAATTAAATAGAATACTGATGACTAACAAGATTTTGGCATGAGGCAAGAATAATATCTGAGTATTATTTTACTTTTTGCTTGCTGGTCCTATTTCCTTTTATTATAGATTCAGTCAATGAACGATTGTTCACTGAAAACTCACTGCAAGCCCAAACCATAGAGTAGGTGACATTCTGCCCCTAATGACCTTAAAACTCTACTGAAGAGAACACCTGGAGCACAAACTATACCACAGCTATTTAGGATCCATGTTCTGAAATAAAGTGAGAAGTTTTGTTTTCAGTATCATGGGTAAGGGGTTTGCATTATAATATTGTTTTCAATATGCAAATAGAATGCTTTGAAAATATTTTACTACACAAGATATGTTTTGTCCAACCACATCTCCACCCCAAGTGCCAGATAGAATGACTCAAACTCTTAGCAAAGTCAACACTTGTTACATCCCTACTATGTTTGATGGCTTTGAAGCACTGCTTGAAAAATAGCCTGAGTCCATTATATTTATTTGATCTAAGAACAATGATTTCTTTCTTGTCTGCCCTTCCAAATAAAACATCAGTTACTTGAAACAGGATAGAAAAATGTTACGAAAATTAAAGGACTGTCTTGGCTTACCTGCACTGACTAAAGTTACTTACCAACTCTGCCTTATTCTTCAGTTTGAGCTAATAGAGAATTCAGCATAAATCATGAAGAGTACATAAGAGAGGAAGGAAACCTTGACCAAGTCCCTATAAAAGGAGGAATAGATTATAGTCCTGGTCTAAAGTACTGATTCAGACATTAATAGACATGACCATGGACACCACACACATGGCAGATCTAAAGGTTTCTTCCCAACCTCTTCTGGGTATTTTCCCCAGGTGAGTCTATGAGGATCTGTGAGGATGACAGAAGTTGGTTATAAGCAACACTACAGACTCAACTCTATGGGTCTTCAGGGGCCCAGCAATAATTTCTGGTGGCCCCCACCAGCTTTACATCTCTCCTCTTTTCCCTCTCTGTCTGGACACATAGATATTCATACTAATGACAAAGTGTGGATAAAGAAGGAATAGAAAACAAAGAAATTGAGAAATTCTACATTTAATTTAATAGAAGTCAACACATACATTATCCAACAGATGACCTTTCAGGTGGTCATCAAATCATGCTGTTTTAAATTTTAGCTGTATTAGTTTCATACAACCAGCAGAAAACTAAATGGATAGGTAGGTAGGCTATTTAAGGCTATCATCCCAAATGGTAGCTTTAGCTGGTCAAATTTCTCAAGAATCTGCACATACTTAGTTGGAATGGGTATCAGCCTAAAAAATCTAGAGTTTGAAGTGATCTTTGGGAGGCTTTTGTAGGTGTTATTCTAATTCTTATTCTGAGTCCACCTGTGTAGTAAAAAATTTAAAACACATTTTTAGTTCCTTCTTCTGTAAAATTGGTATATTAGTTGAAGGACCTGTCCTTTATTCGGTTGCTGTCAGGATAATTATTTTAATACAACTACTAATGAGAATTTACTGAGTATCTGCCACTAAACTCTCACAGGCTGAATCATGAATATTTAGCTGGACAGCTGTGAGTATAATTGAGTGGAATCTGTACCCTTGTTCTTCCCAAATCTCTCTGAATCATCTTTATTGTTAATCAGTAGGCTTTTAATAAGTATATTTTTATTCCCATCCTCAACCTTCTCAAATGGGAATACAGAATCTTAGAAGTAGTGGTTCCAGATCTCCCACTTTATATCTGAAGTTTCTCTCTCAAGGCATTGGAATGTTTCTTGACTATGTGAGTATATTCTGAGTAATTCATATCTATTTTCTTTTATATTTGTTCAACTGCTTATCTCTAATTATAAAAGATATAAAAGGAAATATATATTTAAACATGTATTTCATAAAAAATAAAAACCTATGGATGCATCACTGATTTTGAATTTAGGTTTAAATTTGGGGATTCCAGTTAAAGACAATGTGGGATGAAGATATTACTCATTTGGAAAATTTGAATGGGAAAACCCACTGAAGTATATATTAAATATTATTTTGCTTTCTTATTTTTATATCGTCATTTTTTTCCTACTTCAAAATTCTTTTATTTTTGAGAAAAAGAGAAATTATTTTTAACAGGATAACACCATCCAATGAGAAAAATCTACAAATACAGAGACGATTGAAAATTATAATTTTAAGTCTGGAGTTATTGCAAAATTCATGGTTAGAATAAAAATTCAGATGAGATTCTTATTCCATTTTAACCAGTTCTTCCAATGATGATGGATGAATATAACTTCTAGCAGCCATTTAAGTATTGTTGTATGTCTCCTTTTTTAGAAGATTGCAAGCTGGGTAAGAAATGGCCTCACTCCATAAACTGCAGAGATTGAGGACTGCTCTTAGATTTTCCCTTAGATAGTCATTCTTGAGAAGGGTCCCCCAAATTAGTGGTATAACAGTTAAGCCTGAGATTAAAGAAAGAAGGCCTCTACCCTTGAAAGATAATATACTGTGTTTAGACCTCAGTTTTCATTGACATTTGAAAGGTGGAGCCGAGCTAACATTTGTGCTTTATGAGTTCCTGGCCAATTTTAACTTTTTAATGTTTTATTTTGATTAGGAAAAAAGTTAATATATTTAAAAGTAAAACATTAATTGTGTTCCTTGGATAAAGAACTGGGTTGTTTACCAGGAGTAATAAAATACAAAGGACAAGTTGCCGAAGACCCCAAGACTTGTAACTTTAAATTCTTTTCATGGAGTCATTGGTATTGGTTAATTATAGATGTGGGGAGAAAAAGAGAAAATAGCTCAGGGATACTCTGATAGAGGCTTCATTAACTCAGACA